AGAGAGAGAGAGAGACGACTACACACACACCGCGCGCGCGCGCGCACGCACGCACGCACGCACGCACGCACGCACGCACGCACGCACGCACACACACACACACACGCACGTCTGTGATGAATGGAGAAAAAAATGAATAGATGAATGACAGTTAGAATGAATGAATGAGTAAAAATTATTATAACCGCGTTTAATCAAAGTCATGTAGTTGATGTAAAAAAACAACGGCTTAACGTGATTTAAGGATGAAATTTTTGATCGTGTAAATAACGTTCCTATGGATGTCAGGTACAAATCTTACAAGTAACTCGATCTAATTAATTTTCTCAAACGACATTCGTAAGTTTAATGCTCATTCGCGCATCCTAATATATCACGGGGAACACAATTTGCCCATGAGTTTCTAATAATAAACTTATTATATTGCAATTCGTCATCTTACATACTTTCAACAAAAGCATAAGACGAACACGTAAAGTGAATCTTATGAAATTAATATTTGGCACAGTGGCGTGCTGTGTGCAAATCACTCGAACAAGTAAAGTCCGAGTGAAACACGTCTCATCTGATCCGCAAAAATCAATGAACAGATTTCACCTGATACATCATGGTGACACTTTAGATTATTATATATAGTAGGTTCTCTTTGTAAAATCAAGAGAGAATGGCCAAGATGCGCGACAACGTGACATCAATCGGATCTTCTACGAGCACTTTCGTAAGTAAATCCTTATAGTTATTCGCGCGTTATATTCAACAATGAATAAGGATACGGTGTTCATTCAACGGATCTGGCGTACTTATCAAAAATGTAGGCGTTTCAATTTTGTAAAAAGATTCCGCGAGAGAAACAAGAAGAAAACACAAAAGATATACGCCACCGTTTAGCCGAATGAAAACCTAAATGAATCAAAGAATAATCTAAGAGTACTGAACGCGAATATACGTAGTCAAGTATGTAAGAGTGACATTTATTCAGGATTGCACCGTCGCTAAACGCGTTGGCGTCGATGGTTGCAAATTCATTGTGCGGCATACCCAACCAGCGAGGTCTACGTTCTCCAATTCAGCTTTCTTTATCCACTCGTGATTCTAAAACATACAATCCGAAAAGACATTAAACTATCAACGTTTCATAAAATAAGAAATAGGGGCTAAATGGGAGATGTACCATTAATGTTTTCAAATCTGCCCTTTCATTTGGATTTCTCTTTAAACATCGATCGACGAAATCTATGAAAGCTTGGCTGAATAATCCGGCCGGCAGTCTCGGCGGTGGTTCATTGACTATTATTTCCAGCAGCTCGAATACCGCCAGAGGTTTGGGATTGTGCGTGTCTGTATAATAAAGAATCATCGATTATTCAAGAATATAATTATTTTTTTGTGACAATATACGAGAATACTGACAACGTCCCGTTGAACGTAGTCGCGGAATCGGCGTAGGCTCGCTGTCCGTCGTTGAATCTCCTCCTTCGTGTTTCACCCATTCCGGACCGAATATGATAGCTAAGAGCTTATCATCCGGTGGAGGTATAGGATACATACCAATTGCCATTTCCACTAGCGATACTCCAAGCGACCAAATGTCACTCTGCACTGAGTAATGCGTTCCCTGGAGTCTTTCTGGCTGAAAATGTTCGATATTAACTTTGAGGCGTATTTGTACGCGTAACACCCCCGAACGTACGTTCACCATGCCTGTGGCTTACCGACATGTAACTTCGCGTACCGACGAACGAATTGGCCATCGAATCGATCAATTGTCCGGAAACGCCAAAGTCGCAGATTTTGATTTCTCCCGCACTGTTGACCAAGATATTGCTCGGTTTTACGTCCCGATGCATTATAGCGTGTTTATCTTCGCAGGTAACTTAAACCTTCAAAACCTGTAAAAGAGAAATGATAACTCGCAACGACACGATCCATAATCAGAAGTAAGCGAGTGATCGAGCAAACAAACAAACGAGCACTCAAGTTGGCAGTGAGATAACGGATCGTCGTAACTGCGACTGTCACGCGAAGAAAGAGGAGGAAGAGGAAGAGGAAGAGGAAGAGGAAGAGAAGAAAAGATTTTTACATCGAGTGTCAAGTTGTACGTATCCATAAGAATATCCGTTGCGTTAAAAAAATGCAAGGCGTCTTCACGGCACAGCGAGTAACGCAACAGTCGACTCGTGGGACTCTCATTCGGCATCAACCGGAGAAGAGCATATCCGCCACACACCTGCACAAGAAGAAACTGACCGAGCAGGAGATACAAGAGTTGCATCAAGAATTGGAGACCGTCGATCACATTATAGCTTTGGAGGCTCTGTACGAGCGGCTGGGCACAAACGCGGAAACGGGCTTGACGAAAGAGCAGGCGTGCAGGATCATGGAACGAGACGGACCAAACGCTCTGTCACCACCCAAGGTTACACCGGAATATATCAAATTTTTCAAATGCATGTTCCATGGATTCGCCTCGATGCTCTGGATTTGCGCGGTTCTGTGCTTCATCCTGTACGCCGTCACTCACTGGACGCGGGAGGTGGACATCGGTATCGCGTGGCTGGGTATAATCATCGTGCTGATATGCATCACCTCGGGGGTGTTCGCCTACATACAAGAGAGTAAAAATATCAAAGTGATGGAATCCTTCAAAATGATGGTGCCCACCTTCGCTACGGTGATACGCGACGGCACGAAATCACGACTGGACACGGAAATGTTGGTATTAGGCGACTTGGTGGAGATACGGATGGGCGATAAAATACCGGCCGACATTAGGATAATCGAGTGCCGCGGACTTAGAGTCGAGAACTCGAGCATCACCGGCGAGAGCGAGCCGGTGGTGCGCACCGATTATCCCACCGACAAGAATCCCCTCGAATCCGCCAACGTGGCCTTCTCCACATCGTTCGCTGTAGCGGGTGACGGCAGGGGAATCGTGATCGCCACAGGCGACCACACCATGATAGGCCGTCTGGCCGGTCTGACGTCGCAACTCGCAAAGATCGAGACACCGATCGCCAAGGAGATCGGACATTTCGTTCGAATCATTACAATCGTGGCGATTATATGCGGTCTGACGTTTTTCGGCTTGTCGCTGTTGCTCGATCCCAATATTATACGGGCGTTTACCTATCTGCTCGGTATAGTGATCGCCAATATACCCGAAGTCCTGCTGGTGACCGTGACGACAGTCTTGACGCTGACCGCTCAGAAAATGGCAAGTAAGAATTGTCTGGTGAAAAATCTCGAAGCGGTCGAGACTCTAGGTTCGACATCAATCATTTGCTCCGATAAGACGGGAACGCTCACGCAGAACAAAATGTCCGTGTCTAATCTCTGGTTCGGCCATACCAGGTATAACTTTCCACCAGGTCAGATAATCGGCGTCGAGAGAGATCTGTTGTTGGAAAAACCAGCTTTCGGCGCGATGCTAAGAGCCGCTACTCTCTGTCTACGCGCCGAATTCACCGCCGAGTCATTCATGTTGGCGCCTATCGAAGAGCGCGAGATCATCGGCGACGCGTCCGAGACAGGTATTCTCAAGTTCTGCGAACACATTCATTCGACACAGCGATATCGTGAGGCTCATCCGAAAGTAGCTGAGATTCCTTTCAGCTCCGTGACCAAATATCATATGTCGATACATCGGGACGATACTTACGGCTACATCATGATCCTCAAGGGCGCCCCGGAAGTTATACTAGACAATTGCACGACGATATTGACGTCCGACGGGGAAACGAGAGAGATGACCGTCAACGATCACTCTATATCTCGTCGAGCCTGTCTCGAATTGGGCTATCTCGGTGAGCGCATCTTGGCGTATTGCGACTTGTATCTACCCGCCAGTGTATACGGACCGAATTACAAGTTCAACACCGACTCGCCCGCGTCTTACAACTTTCCCGTCAAGGAATACAGGTTCGTCGGGCTGATAAGTCTGCAGGATCCTCCGAGACCCGGTGTACCGGAGGCGGTGCACAAGTGTCGCACCGCCGGTATCAAGGTGATAATGGTGACGGGCGATCACCCGGTAACAGCGACGGCGATCGCCAAGAAAGTCGGTATCATAAGCGAGGGTCACGAGACTCGTTACGAGCGAGCGTTCCTACAGAATAAATCTCTCACTCAACTGATCGATTCTCAAATCGACATCGGGAGCGCGATCGTGATGACCGGCGCCGAATTGAGGAACATGGATGCGAGCGAATTGGATAACGTTGTACGCCGATATGAGGAAATCGTGTTCGCAAGGACGTCGCCTCAGCAAAAGCTACTGATCGTGGAGAGTTGTCAACGGCTGGGAGAGATCGTGGCGGTTACCGGCGACGGTGTCAACGACGCGCCGGCGTTGCGGAAGGCCGACATAGGGATAGCGATGGGAATCGCTGGCTCCGACGTCGCCAAGAACGCCGCGGATATGATACTTATGGATGACAATTTCGCGTCAATCGTCACCGGTGTTGAGGAGGGTCGCTTGATATTCGACAATTTGAAGAAATCGATCGCGTACACGTTGACATCGAGCGTTCCGGAGATGTTGCCCATGTTAAGCGGCCTGTTGTTCGCGATTCCCTTACCGCTGGTCATCGAGCTGGTTATTTGTATAGATGTCGGCACCGATCTCGTTCCCGCGATCGCTCTAGCCTACGAGAAGGCAGAGTCCGATATAATGCGTCGAGCGCCGAGAAATCCTCAGTACGACAAGCTCGTAAACAAACGTTTGATATCCGTCGCTTATGGTCAGATCGGAATGACGCAGTCATTTGCCGGATTTTACACTTACTTTATGGTGCTTATGATGAACGGCTTTATGCCCAATCGTTTGTGGGGCTTACGAATAGAATGGGAGAACCCATCCATCAACGATCTACAAGATTCCTGGGGCCAAACATGGTCCTATCAAAACAGAATGAATCTACTGATGGAAGCACAGAGCGGATATTTTCTTTCCATCGTCATAACGCAAATGATAGATCTGGTCATGTGCAAGACCAGACGCAATTCTATTTTTCAACAAGGAATGAGCAACTGGTTCGTCAATTTCTCCTTCGTTTTCGAAGTTATTCTAACAGGGTTGTTGCTCTATGTTCCAGGCACGGAGTACATATTCAAGACTATGCCACTGATGGTTTATTGGTATTGGCCTTGCTTGCCGCTAGGCGTATTCCTTTGGGTCTACGACGAATTGAGGCGTTTATGTATTCGTCTTTTTCCAGGTGGAATTATGGAAAGAGAAACATATTATTGAAACACACGCGTATTTTTTTTTTTTTTTTTTTTTTTCGTTTATCTCACATGGTTATTTCCAGACACGAATAATTATATCAATAAACTCGCAACGTCTCGTCACGCCCTTTCTCAAGCGTGTCAGACAATCAGTCAGACAATCTCGATAACCGTTATTGTTACAGTTTATTATTATTCGCGGCACAATTGTAAAAGCAATCATCATTGTATTTATAGAATTTATCCCAACCGTGCGAGATTCCGTTTCGCTTATTTATATCGATAATAAAAATTTGACTTACAGCACATGTAATCGTACTTATCATGGCTTCCGGTATTCGCCCTGCTTTTTTCATTATTAGGTCCAACGATCCACCATCCATATATTCCATACATATACAAATTTCTCCCTCGCTAGAATAGACGTTACAAGAATAGATACAGCTATGGTTGGTATATCGTGCGGCATATGCACGATATACCATAAATCTTGAAAAGTAATCTTTAGAAAACGTAATCCTCCTTTTTCAAGAGTTTACCTGCAGAAAGCGCCATAAAATCCAACTATATGGGCAAAGTTACATTCATGAAGGACTTTCAATTCTCTAATTATTTGCTTCTTAACCGGTGGCTTCATTTCCAAGCGTATTTGCTGAAAAGTCCGTGATAAAAGTACCAAGCAAGTGCATTGCAAATTTCTAAGGATTTAAAAGTATACAATCGTTTACCTTCATCGCCATTATAAGACCATACTTTTTATGCTTGACTTTCACAACAACGCCACCATTACCCGAACCCAATTCACCCAATTTTTCAAAATCCTCGTCACACAATTCTCCAACTTTTTCTTTCTGTCCCAAGAAGCTCTCTAATCTTTTCTTTTGTTCCTCATCCATTTCCAAATCCTCCAATCTCTCTTGGATAGCATCTATGCTCATTGTACCTCTTATGCCACTGTAAGAAGGAAAATCGATCAACGTCTAAAAATTGAGATTAAAACATAGCTTCGTTAAAGCATACAGATTTTACGGAATCGAGTCAACGCGTGAGAATAAATTAGCTTACGGTGTAAATCTGGCAACTACTTCATTTCGTCTGACGTGATTCGAGTTTCGAACAAAGTAGTTTTCGCGGATTTAAACCTGTCTTGTATAGAAATAACGTATTCAAGTATCATATGTACGTCGATACGTGGCGTATCCGCTTTTTTTTTTAAATATGGATCAAAGATAAGTCAAAACTCACGTAGCAAATTGTCAATATCACTAATACTCGAACCTCGCTCGTGGACTTACTCGGACATCTCCGACGATTCCGGATACGTGGGTAAAGACGAAACTGGCGGTGACGGTGACGGCGATGGTATTGGTTCTATCGAGCCAGGTGGTAATGTCAAGTTGAGTTTGTTCTTTGACATTTGGTGGTGAATGTTTAAAAGCGTTTAAAAGGAAAAAGCACAGTACACTGCGTAAGATTATTACTCGACACCGAAATGAACTCGTGGGTCATGTAAGATTAATAGCGTTTCGCGTTTCCTTTCGAGTAAATCACATGAGATTTATCGAACAGTAGGAAATTATCGTGTCCGTCGATATTTCGCAATTTTCGCGCGAATCACAACACTCGCGCGAATCTCACGCCTGTATTCATGCCTGTATTTATGCCTTTCGTTTGCGTGAATTCATAAACTGCACGTTCGTTTGTTCGGCACTCGACATATCCTCGTTAACGAGAGCGAATTGTCAAATCGCAACTCGATAAATCCTTTCGTTCGTTAAAGATTTCATTATTTTAGGAACGATACGTTTCCGTTACGCGATAAGTGCAGGCGATCGTCGAAATTAGGATAACGACACAAAACGTCGTTAACCTAACGACAAGGGTGTGGAACACTGGCGTAAAGAGAAAAAGAGAGGTTATATGAATCTTCGCGGGAACCGCAAGAATGGGTGCATTCGATACCGCGACTGTCCATCGCAGGTGAGCAGTAGTCACATAAACGCGATTGGTTCCTACATATCGATTTAGTCGATTCAACAAATCAAGTCAAGCTGTTACTATCTCGTTCAATAAGAGTACTGGATGTATCATTTCAGTATAACTTAACTGGAAGAACATCGAAAAACAAGGTTGAAATTTCAGAGGTTTTCGTGTTTCAGAGGTTTTATATGTACGATACATACGATCGTGATTTTTTTTTTTGTGATATAGGATACATACGGCCAGATGTGGCGAAGTGCATACGTCTCAATCTCGCCTCAATCTATAATTTACGTCACATATATTGTACTACACGGCGCGAAAATGCGTTTAGTGGAATTCAGTCTATGGGTGCGTTCGAAAATGTGATAACGGCATCGACAATGGTGGTTTCGAAATTCCAAAATAATTATACGACAATTTCCATAAAAAAAAAGAGGGGATAATGTTGGTAGTAACAAAAATCCTTAGACAACACAATTTAATTTCTGTGAATTGGTAATACTGTAAGTAGTAATCTGTTATCGCATGCGGCGTATTGCGTAAGCGTAATGTAACGTCCGCGGAAAATTAAAACTTATGGACGTTCATCCGAAATGATGTAGATGCAGTCGAGCAGTACCTTAGATTAACGCATGCGCGATTTTAAAATATTACATATAACCTATCATTTTACGGTTTTATCATTTTATATATATATATATTTTTTTTATAACTTTTATTATTAAGATAATTAAGTTAATAATAAAGCGAGAATACATTTTCTTTCGTTTTGTGATAAAAGATATAATTTTATTTTATTACTATTATTACTGTTTTCTTTTGGAGAATATAATTTTATAACGTAATTTTCTTTTTCTCGAACCGCCTCTTCTTCGGTTTTCGATATTGCAACTGTAGAAGAGCAAAGGAGTGTTCGACGATCTTAGTTTATATTAAAGGGGAGGTTTATCGCACTCAAAATATTCCTAATATAAGCTTTCCAACGAAGGGCTAGCTCGGAGTCTTTCGTTGCGCAATGAAAATTTAACTGACGAAAACGCTAAATGAATTCTCGTTTTGCAATAATAAGATTTATTATTAAGAGATATCATTAATGATATCTCCGAAAAATATTAGGACTTAGCTTTATTTTTCTTTCTTTTCCATTTATCTTTTTCTATTTTCGCGTAAATAACCGTAACAAACCGAAATAAAATGCTCAATCGAGAAGTGCTTTGTTTGCCCCTTCCCTTTGTATCGGGCCCTACCCTAAAGATACGACTTGGACGCAAACACGGCAGTTGCCAAATCGTCAGAGAGTGCACTGTTTCAAATCGCTGAATTTTATAATTATAAAGGAAAAGTGAAAGGAAAGGAAAAGGAAATTACTAGAAGTCTAATACGTTAATAACTTACTTCAAACAATTTAAGGCAATTATTGCTTCTAATATTATTTGGAATATTACTTGATTTGCTTATATTATACTACTGATTTTCTTATATAATACTATTTGATTTGCTAATATTTTATTATTCGATTTATTTATATTATACTATTGATTTTCTTATATTATATTATTCGAACTGCTTATATTGTATTATAATTTTTTTTTTTTTTTTCGTTTTAATATTACTACATATATAAATTTATAATAAAATTTTAGAGATAACTTTGAATTTAATTATAATATTTACATCGCATTTCACTATTATTAATATTTGATATTTTTAT